AACCAACCACACTATTTTGAATTTGTTTTTTATATCAGGAAAAAAATTTCCTACTAAAGCAGAAATTAGGAGATTCCTGTGCTCTGGGGCTTCCGGGTTGAATGCAGTGTGCCTTTGATAAGTTTGTATGAAATGTTCAACAAAGGCTTTTGGATGTTCCCCCTCATTCTGAGGGCATAATTCAATTTTTGACCAATTAACTTTAGGAGGAAACACCTCTAAAATTGCTCCGATTAAACCCTAAATATCAGCCTCTAGCAGCACCACTTCCTGGTCATTTGCAGGAAGGCCTGGGAGAGGGTCTGGCCATCTATTTCCCCTATGTGAGAGGTTTCCTCCAGGGGGCACTCTGGCATGATAACTATAGTGTAATCCTGGGCTGGAAGAATCCCCTTAGCAGCCAGTCAAGATCTCTGTGGGTGGGGTTATGAATAGCCACTCATCCTTCTAACTCCTCCCTAAATGTAGTAGTATCTTCTGACAATGGAGGCAGGAGAGTTTTATAATTTAACAGATCGGCTGCTGTCCAGGGGACATGAATTCTTTGCAGTGGAGGTCCAGGACACATCCACAGTGGACACTGTGGAGGAATGCCTGAAGCTGGCAGAGCCTGATGACAGAGCCCTGGAAAGTAGGAGGACTTAGGAGGGACAGCAAAGCCAGCCTTCCTGCCTCTCCTGGCTGCTTCTACTGAATCACTTCCTGGCTTTCAGCATTTACACAAGTGACCTGTATGCCCTTGGCTTGGAGGGCAGGCCTGAGTGCCCCCTGTAAGTCTGCTAAAGAGAGGGAAGGGAAAATGGGCAGCTGAGTGCTGTTTGGAGAAGGTGGGGTTTTAGGATCTGAGGGAACTGGCTGAGGAGCTAAGTCTTGAGAGTGGGAGTTGAAACCAGGGTCCCAGAGATCCAACAGATCTTCTGGGGAGTCAGGGACAGGGAGGTGGGGATATAGGGGAGTATAGGAAGGAGGAGAAGGGGAATTTTCATTAAATTTGCATTTAATCTTTGTTCTAAGTCTAACTTCTGGTCTTTCATTTTAAGGGATTCTCTAAGGCTAGAGAATCCATTTATATTTCTTTTCAATTTGATCTTCCCATAAACACCAATAAGGCAGCTGCTTGTGATGAGAGCTCTGTAAAATAGTTTTCAAATATAGTTTTTCCAATTCAAAAGATCCATCGTCTGGCCATTGACGAGTAGGATCTCCATTTGTATATTTATTCTAAAATGACTCCATCCAATGTGCCTTTTTAAGGAAAGACCTGGAGGTGACTTTCTAGGCTTAAAGTAAATCTTTACCATGGATGCAGGAGGCGTCCCTGGGGAGGGCACTGATCATGTAGCCCCCATGATCCAAAATGTTCACTCCCCAAAACAGAGAAAGGAAAGAGTTTCATTACACAGGCGATAAGGATGGTGTAGTGAAAACGGTGTCTCTGGTCTCCCATGAGAACGAGGGATGCTTCTAGTCACAGACTCACTGATCTGTGACACTGGGCAGGCACTACTGGAATGGGATTTTTCCAGCACTAACAACCAAGGAAGGTTGAGGTGACAAAGGTTTATGGACTTGACCGTTTATGACAAACTCCCTGAGAGCTTGGCACAGCTGGACAGAGACTGCTCAGGACCCCAGTCTATTTGGCCACCAAGATGCGCTGTGAGAAATGCACCTTCCACATGGTGGAGACCAAGGAGAATCTTCTCACTGGTCAAAAAGTCAAGTTCTCAGGATGTAGAAGAAGATGGAAAGGAAAACCTCATCTGTTTTTTGTTCTGGTTTTTCCCCTTATATGCACAATAACAGCTTTAGCTACACCTTGGGTTTCCTGGAGCCAAACTAACCTCTAAAACATCTCCTAGGAGGAATGTGCCACAGGGTTGGGGATTGTGTTTTACAGAGTACCTCACTGCATGGAAATTTTCTTGAGGTTGGTGGGGGACATGTTGTCATCTACCCCATTCCATGACCAACTTATCCTATCATGGGAGTCGTCTTCTCTTTTTTTTTTTGGTGGGGAAGATTGGCTCTGAGCTAACATCTGTGCCAGTATTTCTCTATTGTATATGGACCACCGTCACAGCATAGCTTGATGAGTGTTGTAGGTCCACGCCTGGGATCTGAACCCGCGAACAGCAACCTGGATTGCTAAAGTGGAGCACTTCGAATTTAACCACTATGCCACCAGGCCGGCCCCACAGGAGTCTTCTTGAGGCACCAAGTGCCCTAATGGCTCTTACCTGTTCCACCTGTGTCCAACAATACTGCAGCCTTTTAGCTTCCAACATATCCCTTAGCAACAGCTTTTACCTCATGTGCATATGAACCCACAGCAAAGTTTATCCAAATAGATGTCCTCCAGGCTTGACAGGTGCTCCTGGGCTAGGAGGGGCTGCCATTGGTGTCTGAGGGGCCCTAGGTGCCCCAGCTGGAGGGCTGGAGGTTGTCCCCAGGAGTCTGCTTGCCTTCTTTCAGGACACTGTCTGTAGCTAGAAGCTCAGAACAGCCAGCATGAGTTCTGCCAACTCACAGAATGCTCCCCAGAGCCAGGTAATCCCTTTTCAATGGTGAGAGTGGCTTCCTGCCATCCCATTGTCCCGGGAGGTCAGGGACTGCCCAGGGCCTCTCAGCCAGATTCATACCCTCCTCTTACCAGTCTCCCCTGACTCCCACAGCCCCCACACCTCCCAGTGTGGAGGGGCCTGGATGGTGCCCAGCTGGAGGAGTATGTGTGTTGGGATGAGGGGTCAAGGAGGGTGTCTACAGCAGTGGAAAGTGGGTGGGCTCCAGAGAGCCACTCCCAGACCTGGACCTTAACCTCCACCAGCCTCCTGAGGCCACCCCAGTGACCTGGGCTAGTCACTGGGCTTCCTCATCTGTGAACCGTGCACATTAATAGGGCCTCCCTAGAACCTGGGGAGCTCTGGTCTTGACTCCGTGAGGTGTGGGTAGGGTGGGCTGAGTGCCTGTGGGACCGTGAAGCGGGGCCAGTGCTGGATCTGGCGCCCAGGGCAGGGGGCTGGCCCTGCACACTGAAGGACAGTGATGGGGACAGCAGATGAGTTGCAGCAAGTCTTGCAGGGATGGACTCAGGCTGGAGAAGAGGCAAAGGCTCAGGCACCTGGGGACAAGGTGGCAGGGGAACTGGCTCCAGTGGCAGCCAGCAAAGTGGCAGCCTGGTGGGGTACAGGGCCTTGGCTTTGGCTGCAGGGCCCACTCCAGCAGGGGTGCACTGATATATGAGCCTGGTGGGGCAGGGGATGGGGGGATGAACCCCTCTGCCTTGAGGACAGGTGGCTGCCTGGGCATAGCCAGTGCCACAGAGTTGCTCCTATTCTGGGTCCTGGAGGCCGGGCCCAGTTCTTGGGAAGCCTTGGGTTTCCACCCTGCTCTCAGATCCCATATAACCAAGCAGTTCCCAGCCAGGCTCCCTGGGGTCGCCCCCTCCACACCCTCAGGGCCCCTCCCAAACACACCCTCCTTTGCCCGGGAGGCAGGCTGAAGGAATCTACATGCTTCCCTGTGACCTCCTGTCCACCCTGCTGGCAGGCCCTGACCCTGCCTCATCCAGCCCTCTAGCTAGCCCATGGCTCCAGGCTTGGGTCCCCAGGGCAGGGTCAGAGAAAGGACTGAAAGCTGCCCAGGACCTGGCGGGGCAGCCCTTAACAGCCCTCTGGCCCTCATAGGTACTGGCGGCTGGCTTGGTGCTCCTTTCAGCTGCCCACCATGGCCCAGGGGCTGCCCAGCACCACCAGCCTGGCGCACTTCTGCCAGAAGCTGAACCAACTGAAGACACTGTAGGAGTCCACCAGGGAGACATCGCTGCAGCACCACCTGACCACACTGGTGTGGGTGGCACGGTGGGCTTGGGCCTCTACATGCTCATGGGCACCGTGGCCAAGGAGACGGCCGGGCCTGCAGTGGTCGTGTCCTTCAGTGTGGCTGCCGTGGCCTCCCTGCTGGCAGCCCTATGCTACACGGAGTTCGGGTCACATGTGCCCCACACAGGCTCCACCTACCTATTCACCTACATGTCTATGGGCGAGCCGTGGGCCTTCCTCATCAGCTGGAATGTGCTCCTAGAGTACCTCACTGGTGGTGCCGCTGTGGTCCGGGTCTGGAGCAGCTACCTGGATGCCATCTTCAGCCACCGTATCCACAGCTTCACCGAGGCCCATGTGGGCATCTGGAAGGTGCCCTTCCTGGCCCAGTACCCAGACTTCTTGGCTGCTGCCATCCTACGTTTGGTCTCCACATTCGTCTCCTGCGGAGGCTGCATCTCTTCCAGGCTCAGCCGCACCTTACCTGCCATCAGCCTGGTCGTCATCCTCTTCATCATCATCCTGGGGTGTGTCCTGGCCCGTCCACACAACTGGAGCGCTGAGGAGGGTGGCTTTGCACCCTTCGGCTTCTCTGGCATCATGACCGGTGCCGCCACCTGCTTCTACACCTTCATGGGCTTTCATGCCATTGCTGCCTCCAGCGAGGAGGCCCAGAACCCAAAGTGAGACGCACCTATGGCCATTGCCATCTCACTTGGCCTGGTGGCTGGTATATACATCCTCGTCTCCAGTGTGCTCACCCTCATGGTGCCCTGGCACAGCCTGCACCATGACTGGGCACTCGCTGATGCCTTCTACTGGTGGGGCTATAGCTGGGCGGGCTTCATCGTGGCGGCTGGCTCCATCTGCGGTAAGGGGCCCTTCTGGGCAAGATGGGAGGGGAGAGGGTGGTGAGGCCCTGCCCTAAGCCCCCCAGGGAGCACATCTCCATCTGGGACTGTGTTCCCAGTTGCATCATGGGCCCAGGAAGGGGCTAATGATTAGACTCTCCCCCTAGGCTTGTTGGGAGGGACCTACTCACCGCCCCTCCCAATTGTACACGGAATGTCAGCCCTGGGCACGTGCTTCCAGGGCCTTTCCTGGCAGAGGGACTCAGCCCTCATCAGATTCACCAGTGGGTCTGTCACCTAAACTGAGGTGTCCCATTCCTGGGTAGTAGGGGGAAATAATCCAGCACCCCACATACACTCAGGCTCACTCTGAGTGCCCAAACTCATGCCCCTGTTCCCAAGGGGCCACCCCTGCCCTGGCCTCTGGTGGGCCTGTCCACTATGCTGACCAGTCTCCCATAGCCATGACCACTGTCCTGCTCAACATGATCCTTTTCCTGCCACGCATGGTCTATGCCAAGGCCACCAATGGGCTCTTCTTCCAGGTGTTTGCCCACGTACACCCCTGGACGCAGGTGCCTGTGGTGGGCATCCTGGTGCTCTGGGTCCTCATGGCTTTCCTATCACTGCTGCTGGACATCCAGGTTCCAGTTCCACTTCATCCACACACTGCTGGACTACATCTTCGTGGTCACCAGCATCATTGTGCTACACTTCCAAAAGGCCCCTCCATCCAGTTCCCCTGGCTGAGTCAGCCCTGTGGGCACAGAGCAGGCCTCAGCCCCTGAGCCCAGGCAGCTGCGACCAGCCCTGAGGCCCTACCTCGGCTTCCTGGGGGGGTGCTGGCCTGGAGCCACTGTGGCTTGGGCACTTGGTGTCCTGGTGGCCTCGGCCATCACTCTGGACTGCGTGCTGGTCTTCGGGGACTCGGCCCTGCACCTCCCGCTCTGGGGCTACACCCTGCTGCTCCTGCTCAGCTCCGTCATGTTTCTGCTCAGTCTCCTCGTCATGGGGGCCCACCAGCAACAGCGCCGGCAGGACACCTTCCAGGTACTTCCTCCAGCCAATCCCCTTCACTCTCAGCCCAGCCAGCTCCCCTCGCCCCTTCCTCCTCTGCCGTGGCAGGGTGCACCAGGGCTCACAGGGCGGGGGAGGCCAGTCCCCCATCCCCCTCTTTCTGCATGGCGAGTGGGCCCTTGTCTCCAGAATCTCCAGAGGTGGAGAAAGGCTCTGAGGACTCCCAAGAAATCAGGCCCTGGGCCAGCAGACCTTCCCACAGCCCAGCCCAGCCCTGCCCTTGTTCCCACAGATCCCCATGGTGCCCCTGACTCCAGCCCTGAGTATCCTCCTCAACATCTTCCTCATGCTGCACCTGAGCTCCCTGGCCTGGCTGCGCTTCTCCATCTGGATGCTGATCGGTGAGTGGGGACCAGGCTGGGACCCGGGTGGGCTGCAGGAGGAGGGCAAGCAGGGAAGCAGGGCTGGGACCTGCTCTTCAGCTTGTGTCCTCCTTGCAGGACTCGCAGTGTATTTTGGCTACGGCATCTGGCACAACAAGGAGGACCAGCGGGAGTGGCCGGGGTTGACTGCCCCATGCAGCAGGCTGGAGGAGACGGTGCAGGCCCTGCAGCCCCTCAGCCAGACACCGGCCCAGAAGCCCGGACACGCAGAGCAGCCCGCCAGTCCATGAGGACCGCTGGGGGCCTGCCTGCCCTCCCGACCTCCTCAAGGGACCAGAGGGACTGTCAGCCCCTTCTATCAGGGGCAGCTTGGATTTGCAGGCCCACCAATGCCATGGGGTCCTCAGGACCTTAGCCCAGGTGCCGAGCTTCAAGTACTTGGGAGGGGGCTGTGGCCAGCACTGGTGTGGTAGAGTCTTTGCCCAGTGCCTTCCAGTTTATGACCGACTCCAGCTACCTGGGCAGGTGGAGAAGGGCGGGCAGGGAAGAGGGCCCCAGTCCCAGGGATCCACAATAATAACATGTGGCCTGCTGCCGTGTGCACCCCGGTGTTATTTCTGGTACTGAGTCCTCACCTGTCCCCAGGAACCAGGCGATTGTCCTCAATCCACAGCAAAGTTGCCGAGATTCTGTAAGGGAGAAGCCCCAGCCCTGGGACATCCCTGAGTCAGGGATGGGTCATGGGGTCCTGCCCTCAGGCCAGCGCCTTCTGCCCAGCTCAGAGGGGAGCTCCACACACCAGGCACAGAGGAGTCCATGACAGTGTGGGGTCAGGCTCACACCCAGGGTCCCTACATGTCCCCTCGGGGGTGGATACAGAGACCAGAGCCTGGACCTCAAGGAGGCCGCCTAGAAAGGGCAGTGGAGTTCCGGGGTTCCCTCCATTTCCCAGGGCTCCCAGAGAGCAGGGCATCTGCCTGAGGCCCTAGGATATAGAGACCCACCTGCTGGGGTACACATATCTCTCAGGCACAGGCCCATGTGGCCCACACGGCTCCCCTGGGGGTGCACACCCACGTGCAGACTGAGGCAACAGCTGTTTCCAAGCTCAGGGCTGCCCCCAGCTCCCCAGCTGCCTCTCCCCCTGCCCCTCAGGGCTTTGTGATAAAGGCTCGGGATGGGACACACGCGTGCAGGTGGGGACACAAGCGCCTGAGCCTCTCCAGGTACCTTCCACCCCACAGTGGGGCCACAGTCCTTGGGGGTCCCCAGGCCCACCCTGCACCCCTACTGGTCTCCCCAAGGCCATGCTACGGCTGCCATAGATGCCTCCCCCTCCCCTGGAAGGGGTGCCTGGAAGGACCACACAGCAAGCTTCTGGCTCTGGCAGCTTTACTCCTCGGCTCTCTGCAGCCCTGACCTCAGCTTTCTCTGGGCCCCAAGGACAACCAGGTACCCGTGACCCCGCTCCAATGACCAGGCTCAGGGCCGTGTTCTCTCACCCTGGCCCTTCTGAACCCACCTCCCACGGACACGGCTCTGGGGATTGAGAGGAGCAGGGACCCCAAGGCTTTGCTGAGGCTCCAGGTGCCAGATGATTCCAGATGCTGCCAAGCCTGAGCCCCAGCCCTGGCCCTCCCCAACCTGGCCCATGTTGCTCCACCAGCAAGCTGCCAGCATGTCCCTCGTCACCAGGGACTCGTGAGAAGGCAGCCCCTTGTATCCCTGGGGTGGGTACCCCCAAATCCCTGCCTCTCCCTGGGACCAAAAGAGGGCTTGGCTCCTGCAGCCCTGTCCCTCCCCTCCTGACCGTGAGCCCCGGGGCACGGGGAAATTCTCCAGCAGGCAGGACTCAGGCCCCCGGGAGGATTCCAGAGACAGAACCAGGCCAACTTGATGGGGGCTTCCATGTCCTCTGTTAGGGACATTCTCTCCAGCCCCTGGGCTCCACCTGGGATCTTGGTCAGAGCGTGGTCCTCATATAGTTGCCTCAGGCTGGGGTGGGCAGCTGCCCAGACATGGTCTCAGGTGTGACCTTGGGCAGCAGTGACAGATGAGTCCAGATATACAGTCTCCCCACCCCACGGCTCCCAGGATCCTGGTGAGCAGGTTCCAGGCTGTGGGCTGGGGTCACCAAGGAGACAGACAGAAGATCCCACAGGACCCCATGCCCACCAACTCAACCCCTCCCCCCTCCCCCCATCCCAGCCCCCCACAGCCCGAGGGCTGCCACCAGGAAGGCGCTGGTGCTCACGAGCTGAGCGCGTTTGGGCCCAAGAGGTGCCTGTGCCCTTGCCTGGGGTCCTACGGGGTCGGATTGTCTGCCCATCACACTCCTCACTCCATGGATGAGGCCCAGAGCTGGGAGGGGACCTGCCCTAGGAACCCAGCCCCAGAGCAGCTGAGACGACTTCTCTCGTCAGGCTTCCTTCTCCCTTGCCTTAGACTCTGGTTGCACAGACCCCTACACAGGGCAGCTGTGAGGGGAGGGGCTCCACTGTGAAGGGAGTGCTGGCAGGGGGAGGAGGGCTGGGAGCCAGGCAGGGCCAGAGTCCGACACAGCCAGTTTGGGGATAGCGGGTGAGCGGGGAGCTGCTGGGAACACTGGAGACAGACTGGGAGAGTGTTCTCCAGACCCAGACCCAGCAGGAGCCCCACTGGACCAGCGCCCCATGTTGCGTTCCCCTGCAGGTCTCTAACAAAACTGGCTCTTGTGGTCCCAGGCAGCACCCTGCCGAGGCTGGAGTTGGGGGAGGGACAGTCAGTCTGGGAGCTGAAGGGTGGAATTCTCCCCCCACCCCATGTCCTGTTCCTGCTGGGCTTCATGAATGAGTCCCCAAGGTTGGGACCCCACCCTTCCCAGTCCTGAACCCCCAACCAGTAGAGACAGGCTACAGGCCTCAGGAATGGGCCAGAGAATGGGTGCCAGGGCCACCCTGGTGACAGTGTCCAGCTCCCAGCAGCAGCAGTGGAGCAGGTGCTGGGCCCCCTCTAAGGCACCTGGGCAGCCAGATGTGGGGGTGGGGAAGCCTGCACAGGAGGAGGTCCAGCCACCATCCTCCAAAGTGTGGCCCAGAGTCCAGGCAGGTCCACAGCTCCCCTCCTCAGACTTGGACCTCCAGGAGAAATGGGCTTCCCCATCCACGTACAACAGCAGCAGGTCATAGAAGAAGGTGATCTGGGAGAGGCAGGACAGACCCACGTCCTGGCCCCCACCCAGCCATCCTGCTGCCTCCGAGCCCTCACCCCGAGACTCATGTCAGCACAGGGGCTCGGGTGTGCACTCGGGGGGCACGTGCTTGCCGGCAGCCAGAGGGAGCCACGTTGGCCAGACTCACCACACCCAGCCAAGCTGCTCCAGTACCCAGAGTGAGGGTTGTGGGGATGAACCTGAGCTTCCCTACCTGCGGGAGACCTGGGCGGAGCCTCTCTGGCTGTGGCTGTCACCCCCTCCACCCCTCACCCCTGCCTGCCCCCACCCGCCCCAGCCTCTCCCCTACCTGCCCAGTGATGAGGATGTCGAAGGATCCCGTAGAGCTTGAGCAGGCTCTGGGCCTCCAATCCTGAGGCCTCCCACCAGTGAGCGGCTGCCCTGGGGCAGCAGAGAGTCTAGTGGCCTGCTCTGGCCACTCCTGGTCTGGGCTGCCCTTCACGGGCCTCGTCTTACTCATCCATTGACTCCATCACCCCCACCCCAAGTCCTGGGTCTCAGCCCTGTGTCATTGCTGAGGACACAGGGGACAAGCAAGCTGGGACCTGCCTCTCAGAAGCTCCCTGCCTGCTGAGGGGATGGGGACAGAAGGGTCCCTAAACAGATACTGGCAGTGAGGGTGGGGGAGGTGGGGGGTAGGCCCAGGGTCCAGAGAGGGGCACTCACTCTCCCCTAGGAACCAGGGAAGGCTTCCTGCCGGGAGACTCGCAGGCTGGTTTCCCAGGAGTCAGGAAGGAGTTCTAGGCAGAGACGTAGGGGGAGCAGGAGCACAGGGTGAGGGGAGCAGGGTGTGGGTGGGGTCCAGCCCCATATGATTGCAAAGGGCTGGGGAGGTCAGTGAAGCCAGGCCAGGCCCAGCGAGCAGTGTCAGGGGGCATCACCTAAAGGCCTGGTGGCTGTGTACACATGCATGAGGGTGACGAGGTGACATGAGGTGACAAGAAGATGGGGGGGGTCTGCTTAGGAGACACAGAGACAGGACAATACATGCACACAAGATCCTTGGGTGCATTCTGGATTGGAAAATAAAAAGATTTAGGCATATTATTGGCACAGCTGGGGAAATTTAAATATTAGATTTATCCATCAGTGTTAAACTTCTTGAGCGTGACAAGAGGCCAGTGGTCACCTGGGGAAGGTCCTCATTCCCAGGACAATGTCGAGAAGGTGAGTGTCCGGATATCTGCCACTTACTTTCCAACGGTTTCCTGTGAAATCTATCTACATATATCCGGCTCACTCTAGAGAGGGAGAGAGAAGGCAAATGGGGCAAAATGGTAGAAAAACAAAAAAAGAAAAATACAACCCTGGTGAACCCAGATGAAGGCTATATGGGTTTTCACAGCACTAATCTTTGAGATTTTCTATAGATTTTCGTAATTTTTTAGATAAAACCTTAAGGGAAAAGTAAAGAAAGCCCCCTGTTCTGTGGAGGGTGATCCTGGAGGCGGGGGGAGTGGAAAAGGGGCTGCAGGTGAGGGGTCCCAGCTGCAGCAGGGGTGTGGGGACACCCAGGGTGGAGGCCAAAGGGCTCAGGAGGGAGGCTGGACGGATGCTGTGCTGGGGAACCTGGAGCTGAGAGCCCCCCCTCCTGCCCTGGGGACCCCTTGCACACACAGCAGAGCGTCCAGAGGGATGGGTCAGGCTGGGGTCTGTCCCAGCCACCACAGGAGGACAGGTGGAGGGGCACCTGGCTGAGGAGCAGCAGGCGGGCAGTGGGGCCGCACCTGAAGTCACAGCTCCTCTCCCGCAGCTGGAAGGAGTCATGAGGCCGCAGTTGGAGCCCCCGGCGTCCAGGTCACAATCCCAACGGACATGGATGCCCACGGCCCCGCCCTGCACACAGCGCATCACTGCTCCACCAGCACACAGGCAGGGACCCTCTCCCCGAGCCCTCCCAGAACCCTGCCCCCTAGGGACACACCAGCAATACCAGGTCCTCACAGACCCCTCCAGCCACGGCCACGAGGTCCCTGATCTGAACACAGGGCAGCGGGGCTGAAGCCTGGGTCACAGCAGCAGTGCCTGAAATATGTGGCGTCTCAGGTCTCCAAGGCATTGGAACTGGGGGAGGAGGGTAAGGCAGGGGACAAGGAGGATCTGGGGCGGCCAGGACCCACCATGCTGACCTGGAGAAGTTGAACTTGCTGACAAGAAGTCAACAAGAACGTGACAGTGTTTTGATGAACAGCGTGGAGTTCTCAGCCTGGAGCAGCAGGGGCTTCCTGCAGGTGGGGGAGGTCAGGGGCAGGCTCTGCTGGTCCTGGGACCTGACCTGGGTGTCGGGGACACTTACACGGGCACAGTGTCACTCTCCATGGGACACCAGCCCTGGATCTCACAGGTCCTGTGGGTCCCATTGAACTCCACACACTGGCCCGTTTTTATGCCTTGAAAACAC